AGGGTTTCTAGGAAGATTTCCGCCTCCAGTCTATTATGATGAAGACGGAATTGCCAATGTACTTGCTATGCGCGAGATGATTGCTGCGGGATACCGCATTACCATGGATACTGATTTTGACAATGCCCTTCTTGTGCAATCCCCGTGTTTACACCGTCCCCCTATAGCTTGTAAAAGTGTTCCCCTTTCAAGAAAAACAACACAATCCCCCTAAAACGGACGAATGAAGGACAGTGTCGCGGGGTCCTGCCTCACTGCTGGAAGAGTAAAAAATGCGCAAGGGTTCGCAAACTTCGCGCAGAAGGCAGCAGGTTCGGATTCCATTTCCCGAAGAAAGAATCTCTTCACTGCCGGAGGCTTTTGAAACGATCCTTCTCCTTCCAAAAAGTTTCTTCTAAATCCTGTCTCACAAAAGATCACAAACTAAAATTGAATCTGATCAACAATGAAATTTGTAACCTTGATTGCGCTGTCCTTTGTCTCCACAAAGGTCGATGCGTTTCAAACAGCATCTAAGCCATGGGCAAGTAGTAACGTTGGCAAGTCGGCTCTTTACGTCGAAAAGAAAAAGGTGGTTGTGATCGGAAATGGTATGGTAGGACAGCGTTTCATGGAAAAGCTGCTCGATCACGCTGGAGACGACGTCGAAGTGTCTACCTTCTGCGAAGAGCCCCTTGCTGCTTATAACCGCGTCAAACTGACAAGCTATTTCGAAACTCGTAATCCTTCCGATCTAAGCATGACGTCGGAATTCGACAACCAAGGTTCTACTTCCTGGTACGACGAGAATGGAGTGAAGATCTTTATGAAAGACAAGGCCGTTTCAATTGACACGGACAAGAAGACCGTCACCGGTGCTTCTGGCCGAGAAATCAACTATGACGCTTGTGTCTTGGCCACAGGATCGTTTCCCTTTGTACCTCCGATCCCTGGAAAGCAACGTCCTGGTGTCTTCGTCTACCGAACCATTGAAGACCTTGAAGCCATGTTGGCCTATGCGAAGGAAAACAACGTGAAGTCAGCTGCTGTGATCGGAGGTGGTTTACTTGGACTTGAGGCAGCAAAAGCCGTCAAGGATATGGGAATTACCTCGCACATTATTGAATTTGCTGATATTCTCATGTGCCGCCAACTTGATGAAGGAGGACATGGCGCATTGGTGGGAAAAATCGAAGAAATGGGACTTCATGTGCATTGCGGTGCTCGGACTGAATCATTCGTTGGCACGGATGGCTCCACGGACAATGATTCCATGGCTCCTGTTGCGGCACTGAAGTTCAGCAACGGCTGGGATGACCTACCTGTTGAAATGGTTGTCGTTTCGGCCGGAATCAAGCCTCGAGATGAGATTGCTCGTGACTCTGAATCGATCGAGATCGGAGAGCGTGGCGGTGTGGTCGTTGATGACTACCTTCGAACATCCCAAGACGGAGTTTATGCTGTCGGTGAAATTGCCCTACACAAGAATTTTATCTATGGCTTGATCGCTCCTGGTTACATTATGGCCGATGTCTGTTCCAAAGCTGTTGCTCATGATCTGGGGATCAAGGTTTCCGACCAAGCTCCTAGCTTCACTGGTGCCGATATGTCTACTAAGCTCAAGCTACTGGGATGCGATGTGGCTTCTTTCGGTGTCAACCAACCCAAACCTGACGATTTGGATGTGCAGGAACTGGTGTGGAACGATCCTTTTGGTGGTATCTACAGAAAACTCATTTTCAACAAAGCTGGAACAAGACTTCGTGGTGGAATCTTGGTCGGGGATGCATCTGATTATACACAGCTCCATAAGTTGGCCGTCGGAGATGAGGACTTTCCTGATGATGTCACACCTGCGATGCTTCTACCCCCAGCTTCCTGCAAATCTGCAGCAGCTGATAACAGAGAAGAAGTTCCTTCTGATCCCAATGCCCAGATTTGTTCTTGCAACGACATTACGCGAGGAAATGTAGTCGAGATAATTCGTGAGCTTGGTGTAGAAGGCGCTTCCCTAGCCGAGGTGAAAAAGTGCTCAAAGGCCGGAACTGGGTGCGGCGGTTGTGAACCACTCGTCAAGTCAATTCTGAAAACAGAACTGGAAGCGATGGGGGGAGCCATGTCTAATAACATCTGTGAACATTTCGACTATTCTCGCCAGGAGTTAGTTGCTTTGATGCGGGCTGAGAAAGATCCATCAAACGTTGATTCCTTTGACAAAGTCTTGGAGAAATTTGGACACGGCAATGGTTGCGAAGCCTGCAAACCAACTGTTGGTTCTATCCTTGCATCATTGCAAAACAAAATGGTCCTTGGAGATGAACGCTATCAGATGCAAGACACAAATGACCGCGCTCTGGCAAAGTAAGTCGCTATTTCAGGAACATTGTTGACATGTGTGCCCACAGAAACTCAGATGCCTTTTCCTCAATTCTTCAGCATGCAACGTGGGGGTACATACTCCGTGGTTCCTCGTGTTCCAGGAGGCGAGCTTACTCCAGAACAACTTATTGTTTTGGGGGAAGTTGCGAAGAAGTACAACCTTTATTGCAAAATCACCGGCGGGCAACGTGTAGACTTGTTTGGGGCAGCGAAACACGAGCTACCATCTATTTGGGAGGAGCTTGGAAAGGTTGGATTTGAATCAGGTCATGCGTACGGAAAAGCACTGCGAACTGTGAAGTCTTGCGTAGGTTCGACATGGTGTCGATATGGCGTGCAAGACTCCGTCTCGTTTGCAGTCAGGGTTGAAAACCGATACAAGGGTATCAGGTCTCCACACAAGATGAAGTCGGCAGTATCTGGATGTGTTCGAGAATGCGCTGAAGCTCAAGGCAAGGATTTCGGAATGATCGCAACAGAAAATGGGTATAACTTATACGTCGGAGGCAATGGAGCAACTAATCCAGTCCACGCCCTGCTGTTGGCTGCTGACATTGACGAAGATACTGTCTTGAAATACCTCGACCGATACATTATGTACTACATCTTGACTGCCGACAAGTTGGAGAGAACTGCAGTTTGGCAGAGTAAGCTTCCTTCTGGGAAGAATGGTGGGGGTCCTATCGAGCATCTCAAGGAAGTGATCATTGAAGATTCTCTTGGTCTTTGCGAAGAGCTTGACAGCCGTATGCAGCACTTGGTGGACACGTATCACGATGAATGGGTAGGTCAAGTACATCTTCTGGTTTTTTTTCTCTTGCATTTCTAATTCACATTCTCTGTTTCTATTACAGGCCGAGGTTGTTAACGATCCAAAATTGCGAAAGCAGTTTGATCAGTTTGCAAATACAGACGAAAACATCGACAAAGACAGCATGATCGAGTTCATTGACATGCGTGGACAAGCGAGACCTGCCGATTGGCCGAAGGATGGACAGCCTCAAACAAACTGGGTCGCTCCTTCTGGTGACGTTTTCATTAACTCTGAAAAATATTGGGTGGAAGTGGGGTTGGTTTCAGACTTCTTGCCAAACGTTGGAACTCCCATTCTCTATGGAGATTCTCAACTTGCAGTGTTCAATAACAAGCAAAGAGGAGAATGGTACTGTACCCAGAACATGTGCCCTCACAAACAGGCATTCGTTTTGTCTCAAGGTATCATAGGAGATACAAACGATGTCCCAAAGGTTGCGTGTCCTCTTCATAAAAAGGCATTCAGCCTTGAGAATGGACAACAGATTAATGATGACGGAAACCTCAGTATCTTCACTTTCCCAGTAAAGATCGAAGGAGACAAGGTGCTTGTCGAACTTCCAGCTGAACCAGAAGTCGATGCCATTCTAGGTACACATGGCCTACGTGTTCAAAAGACCGACTGCATTGACATCGCTGGTGACGCCATGAAGGTCGCACCAAAGCCGAACAAATTCTCGAATGTGTAGATATACAGTAACTGCTTCAGTAGCCGGATGACGTGTTCCTTTTCAATTGAACATGTCTGATATTGATAGCTCAGACTTACATGGATTACATACGTAAAACACTTCTCAGTTTGGACTTTTCTTTTCACACTCCTCGTTTCTGTGTTTCTTTGTCTCCAAGCCGCGCTGCCGCAACATCACGATCCTTGAAAATTAAAGAGCGCTACACTACAGTAGTATGACTATCCATGGGAATGAGGATTGTGATGACAGAAAGGACAAGTTCGAATGTGAAGAGAAAAGTAATTGGAGATTCAAATCCGCTAGTTTAGTAACGCAACCAGTAAGAGTGACGGCGAAACCAAGTATAATCGGGGAGTTCGTGAATTCCTCCGACAGCTGCAATTGCCAAATCTTGATCATTAAAGAACTTTGCAGCAGTCGCTCGAATATCAGAAGTGGTGACAGAATCGATTCTAGAAAAGATCTCAGCTGGGGTCATTCGTCGACCATAGTTCAACAAGGACCGACCAATCTCCTCAGCAACATTGTTGTGGCCATCCATGTTCATCAGCATGGAAGCCTTCAAGCTGACCTTGGCACGTTCCACTTCAGCATCCGACGGGGTATGAACCAATCTGATGAGGTTGTTCATGATGTACCACGAAATATCATCGACCTTGTTATCGGGGGCAACAGCATACACCCCGAAAAGACCAGTGTCTTTGTAGCATGTGTTGAAGGTGTTGAGAGAGTAGGCCAGCTCGTTCTCAGCAACATCTTGGCACAAGTTCGAAGCATGGTTCTTGCCCATTCCGTGTCCGCGATCATACGATCCAAGCATCATTTGCATGAGCATCAAAGGGAAGGCATGTTCAGATGTCCAAGAAGCTGTTGGGAAAGCAATTGCGAGGTGTGCAACGTCCTCAGAGTTGAATTTCACACGATAGTCGGATCCGGTGAAAACTGCTGGTTCCATGGCAACGTCAACTCCATTTTTGGGGGCAGATGGAAGGCTTCCAAAATGTTCCCCAGCCAATCCACAGAGCTCTTCATGGTCGATTGCTCCAGCACCTGCAACAACCATCTTTGGTGCAGTGTAGTGGGTTTGGATATAGTCAGAGAGGTCTTGGCGAGTGAGGCTACGAATGTTCTCCTCAGAACCCAGAATTGTGCGCCCAAGAGAGGTTCCTTGGAATGCTGTAGCATGCAAGTGATCAAGAACCAATTCCTCTTGATTCTTGTTCACTTCTGACATTTCCCTTAGGATCACCTCACGTTCCCGGTCAATTGCTGCTTCTTCCATCTTTGAATTGAGAAGGATGTCAGAGATGATCTCTACGGCCTTACCAACGTCCTTTTTGAAAACCTTTGCAAAGTAAGCAGTCTGTTCCCGAGAAGTGTACGCATTCCTAACAAAATGTAAACATTGGTGAATTCTAGGCTTTCCCGGAAGTAGCACTGATCATCAATTGACTTACAAGTGACCACCCATGTTTTCAATCTCAATTTCCAATTGCTGTTGTGTTCGCTTGGAAGTACCTTTGAAAGCCATGTGCTCCAAAAAGTGGGCGGTGCCGTTATTTGCTGCAGTCTCGTAGCGAGAGCCAGCATCAATCCAGACGCCAACTGTCGCAGTTTCACTGCCAGCAACTGTTTCAGACCCAACTCGCAAACCATTATCCAAAGTGGAGACATCAGTACTTGGAGCGCGGAGTACATAGTCAGGGAAACTAGAAAGGGAACGACGCGATGCCGAGCTGGCCCTTCTTGCAAATAACTACGAAAGTTTCAATTGAAATGAACAACAGGTATGTCAGGTTCCGGTGTATTCCATCGATGCCGAATTCACTGTTAGGCAAATCAAACAATCTAACCCATGAAAAATTGTATGACCTCCCGATCGTAAGAACGCACCTTCGACACTGCAGCACGAGAAGCCATCGTCAGAATCAAAAGGACTGTAGGAGGTTATACACCCTCTTTTGCGATCCTAAATGAAACGGTGTGATGAAGATGCATCTACCGGTACCTCTCTTCGTATGTACAGGTAGTGCTTGGATGGTACCTGGTACCAGTACTTTCGTACAAAGCCTCCCACACGTACGACAGAAACTATTAACATCTACTCGAAAGAGTCGAAGATTGAAAATGCTCAAACAAAATCCGAACAGCAACAAAAAGAGACGATGATTCACCATTCATTCGTGTGATGGCAAAGAAACAACGGCAGAAAAAAGGGGAACAAAGTAAGAGAAAAGGTAAAGTGGTCGAGATAGAGGAGCTTTCGCTAAGTCACTCCATTATTACTGCTGGGTCAGAGACTGCAGGCAGTATCTTATCTACTGACAGCTGGGCTGGTGACAATGACGATTTTGACCAGGCTGATGATGGTGTGACAAGAACATCCGAAGAACGAGAGCGAAAACTCCAGGATGCATTTGCAATGGTCGAAGATTATTGTTCCGAGAAACGGTCAACAAGACGAGAAAGCATTCTTCGTAAGTGGTACACTGCTCTAACTCAATACACAAGCGGCTCATATGAAACGGTTGAATGCAAGTTGTCAGATATCACCAGAGGCTGTCAATTTAGCATTCGCAGCGGAAGTCCATCAGAACAGTATGCAGCATGTCGTGTGCTAGAGACTGTTGCGGTCTTGCTTGCCGATGAATCATTTTTTGGGCAAACATACCAAACACTTCTTTCGACTACTCGATCTACACACCGTGCCATACCAGTTAGGATTGCGGCATTGAGAGCGATTGGAATGGCTATTTTTATTGGAGTTGACGATGATTTTATAGTCCAGGAAGTATTGGACTTGTGCGAAGCTTTGGCAAGGTCAGAGTACAGAGGAGAGAAAGTCGCTTCTGGGTTACGCGCAGCAGCACTTACAGTTTGGAGTGTATTGGCAACAACACTACACGAGTTTTACATTTCCGGAGCTGACGATGTATCGACTGGGAGAGGGTTGTGATTGTTACCCATCACAGTAGAATGTTTAGAGCAGCAAGAGGACTTAGGTTTACAATCAGCTGCAGGGGAATGCGCTGCATGGATTCACTCGGCACGATTACAGCTGGGTGTGGAGGTTGGGGAGGGTGACAATACTACAGAGCGACGATACCGCCTAGGTTCCTGGGAGGGATCGAAATGAGAGGAGACGATAGTAGAAATCGAGACATTGATGGAATCTCTTTCAAATCAATCAGGACACTTCTTGTCCAAAAAGAAGAAAGAAACAAGAACCATTTTCCGAGAGTTGCTGTCAACAATTCAAGAAAATGAGCCGCCTACCGAAGTCATACAGCTTCGAGGTGGTACTGTAGAGTTGACAACTTGGAAAGATGTAATCCCAATGACTTTTCTTAGGCGATGTCTCCAGGGTGGGCTACAAATGCAATTGATGACAAACCCCACTCTCCAAACTATCTTCGGTATCAAGCTGTTTTCTCCGATAGGGATGTCGCAACAGGAAAAGCGGCTCCTTTTCTCCAAATCCAGCGAGACTGCCAAGGAGAAGGACCGTCATCGCACTCGAAGGAGGCAAAACAGAACAAACGCCAAACATTGTTTTATATCGAACGACGACTAGATGGTTCTAGACAAAAGAATGTTGTTTCTTCATACCACCGGCATCATACGATATCACGGGAATTCAAGTAGTTTATGCATTCAAACTACTTTTTCCAATCATCTTTGCCATTGAGATAATGATCTCGTCGAGCTCGTCCGTAACTTCAGCGCCTCGTTCACTAATTGCACCGGAAATGACACTCACATAAAATGCAGCACCGACGACGAGAAACGCCAGCGGAAACGTGATACTTGGTCGCAAGAACCATGGTGCTTGTTGACCAGTTTCTCCTTCAAAAAATCCAAAGAAGTAGAAATTCTTTGCCTTTTCAATCCATCCTTCAAATCCTTCTTTCTCTGGGCCACTTTGTGCTCTCAAAGCTTGTCGTTGCTCGTACGCCGCTGCAATATCGGACGCAGTGCGCTGTACACGAAAGTCATTAGTATCGTCTTCATTTGTCAATCTATCGCATGATTATAAATGCCACGTACCGGTGTATTGTCAGCCATTGCAATACTGTCAAAGTCGATATTTTGCATTGGTGGTTGTGCTTCTAGAATTTCGATATCGAATTCTAATTTCGCTCCTGGAGGGATCAAATCGGGAACGCCTTCATTGCCATATCCCAATTCAGGATTTGTCACCTTGACTATCGATCGTTCTCCGACCGACATCGTCCGAAGGGCCTTATCCCATCCAGCTACCATGGTACCATCGCCGACAACCTAAATCATTCAAACAAATGTAAGGAGAATCAGACCAATCGAATCGCAACCTCTTCTCAGCACAAACCATTTTTTGTCTGTCCGCCCGAGCAACTGGAAGAGCATCTCCATTTCCGGATACATAACATGAATATCTGACAGTAGCAATGTCACCCAAGTTGACAGCCTTTCCACTCCCTGGAGAGGAAACTTGCTTCACAATTCCATCCGGAATTGCTGTTGTACTGAAGCGTAAAAGTAGGCCCGAGTTGCGCCGTGACCGATGCGATGGAGTGAATGCACCTGTGGCTGCCAATGAGAGCAGCACGCAAAAAAGAAACAATCTATTTGACGCAAGAAAAACTCGAGAGTTACACATGGTCACGTTGAGACCGGATTGGTTGGAGAATGTGACAAGATCATTGCGGACCGGTGCTATCGTGACAAATACGTGTACGCGTACCATCCTTGCACGTACCGGTGCCTGCTACCAGTACCAGTACTGGTACATACAGTAGTACAGTACAGTATTTACGAATATACGTCAGCAGTTCGGCACCGCAAAAAGTACAGACGAGACCAACTCTCTAAGGCGGAAAGTTATCGAACCAAAAATGATGCATGCAGGAACACACGAGGA